CAGCTGCAGACTGACTTTCTTAGAAGAGCATTAGAAAGTCAGTTTGCATTAGAAGGCAGTCAGTCAGTAATAACCTTTCTGGAAAAAAAAACTGTCCTGTGATGGCACTTTGATCTAAAACATTAAAAAAATACACATATTTAACTTAAAGCCTCAACTTAAAAGTTTGTCATTGGGACTGCTGGTGGAGTCTCATAAGTGTACTGCGAGTGATCTTTCAGGGGACATCCATATCGGTTTTGCATCAAAACGAAAGCGATTCACACATGAGAACACGATTTTTCAAGCACTACAGTGAGACTCACTCAGCTCTTACTTTGAAAGCAAGTTGAAAAATTGGTAATTAATTGCATATTTTAAAGTGTATTACAACCAGCTGATTTTCCAGGATGCGTTAAAACAGTCAGTAGAAGAACAACTTAGCAGTCCTTTAACCAAGCACTTCAAATAAGTGTGGTAAATACGGCTGATATTGAAAGGGATTTTGAGGCAGAGTTCACAGATGGGAACGCTTACCTGGCTGAGGCCACTGGGACTTGTGCCATTTTCTCCCATTCACTCTATTTTTACTTTTGGCTGGGAGCTGGTTGTCAATGTAATGAACACAGCCTTCACAAACATGTGTGTAGATGATAAGCAAAGGGAACTAAAATAGAGTATTTTAGCGTTTAGTGGAATAAAATCAGACAGTGCCTTGCATCCTGGTTTCAGTGTAGACATCTGTGTAGGCGTGTGCAGCTCTTGGGCTGTGCGGATGGGCAAAGTCTGGTTTCTGGGTGCCACTGGTAAGTTGATGTTGGTGCTGGTGCAGACGTCCAGACAAAGGTGAACCATTTTGGTTTACCACTTTCTCAAAAGGAGGGGAGAAGTTCTTGCCTTTTCCAGTTGATTTATATAAAAGATAGATGGAGTGGCATTCTCATTTTGTGCAAATAACCAGTTTGGTAATGACTTAACCCCGGTACTTTTGAGTTAAAATTTGGTCAACCATTAAAATGCAATTGTGCTTAAGGTATAACTCTGGAGTTTCTGTGAGTCATTATCATGAGTAGGAGGGCAGTGCCGACTGGTTCGATGTGGGTTACTGTGTGTGTGTGTGTGTGTGTGTGTGTGTGCTGCATCACAGCTTTGCTGGGAGGAGGAAGGGGCAGGGGGGCAAGGTAGGGTCTGCAATGGCCCTTTGGGAAATCCCATGTTACCGGAATGTGGAGCACTAAAAGTTATTGCTTGTAATAGGTATGGCAGCATGCTTATCTGAAATCATCAAAGGCTGTAAGTGTGTTTATGTACACGAGGCATACCTGATGGGTTCTGTAGCCAGCTGTGTGTGCTCTGGATACGGTGGTGGAAGAAATTTCATGTCTGTGTGGGACTGCGACCGTTGAAACAATCATTACTGAAACCATACACCTTATTTCCTGTTACTAATAGCAGCCTTCTACCTATGGAATATATTAACAGTTATTCCCTCGGTTTTGGATTGTTGCTCAACTATTTGGTTGGACAGATACTTAAACGAGATCTGTAATTTATGTTGTTTGAATACGTCAATGAGCAGAGCTCATTATGGCTTCCTGATGTGAGCTGTGCTGATGTTTGTGAAACCACACTTCTGTCTGTCAGGCAAGGCAGAAGTACGTTCCTTAATAAATCATGGAAAATGACGAGCTTTCGTTACCTAGGCTGGTGAACAGAAATACTTGGTTGGTGTTTACCTAGAGTTTCAAACAAAGCAGTGGTTTCTGTGACTGCTTGAGCAGTTAAGTCTTCCGTGCCATTTAAATACATATTTAATGCTCTTTACAGGGTAGGTTTTTATTTATTTATTTATTTATTTTATTAAAATCTGTTGGGTCAAACAGCAGCAGCCCATTTAGGGACCTGCAGTGCCTCCACCACATGACTTTTGGCATTATTACCACAGAGTGGGATGTTCCCATTCCAGCCAGTTTTTTCCCCAACGTCTACCCCAAATACTCAGCTCCAACCTGAATACATGATGCTTGCACAGAGGCATTTTTTGGACACGGCAGTGCTGTGCTCCTGGGGCCTGGGCTGAGCTGCTGGCTCAGAGCAGAGGAAACCCTGTAATGGGGAAAGGAAAGCAGATATGTTTTTCTAATATTTGTTGTTTTCTTTGAAATGAGTAAAAGAATACCTGGAGTGATTTATGTTTAATTGAGGATCGCATTCCATCAGATACGGTGAACGTTCTCAGGCCATTTATCATCTGTGTCTTTTTGAGACCTCTGAGGAGTATATAGGAGATATTTACCTTAACTTGGCTAGGTCAAGGGAAATAAAGTAGAAATAATAGATGTTATTTTTGTATGTGAACAAAACTGGAAGTCGTGTGGATGAAATATGGGGTAAATGGCTGTGTCCTACCTCCTCTGTGACTTTTTAAGTACCGGGAATTATTAGTTCTATATAATATAATTTCCTTTGCATTATCAGTGTATGTTTTTAAAGCACACGATTTAGTGGCTGGCATTTTTATTGTTTCAGATTAGTCAACTCCCGAAGTAAACACAGTGTGTATTGTGTTGCCATGACTGTTCGGTGGTTTCATATTTAAGTAGCATCTTAAAAAACAAACAGACAAACAAAAAACAGCCAACAAGGCCATCTACTGCACTTCACTTAACATTTGTCATGAATGTATATGACTTGTAATGCACGTAGGTTGTGTGACACCAGAATCCTGCAAGTGCTGGTGAGGATTTTCCTGAGCAGTATCTACATTTTGGGGTGAGGAAGGTGTTTGTAAGAGAGTCCTTGAGCTTTAGACCTGAGAAATTCGTTCATGGCTATTTGTCATGGTGCTGTTGGTGTGGGACCTCCAGGTGCCATTCTGCCTCGTGTAGCCAAAGCTACCTCCATACACCCTACAGTGCATCCAAGCTTGAAATTTCTCAGCGCCAACAGCCAAAAGGAATTTGTTGTATGGCGAACTCTTTTGTAACGTTTGCAAAATGCATTTTAATTACTTTTTATAGAAGGGTGAGCGCAGTGTAACCTAAATGTTAGGATCTGTAAGAAAGAGGGAAACCTGAGAGCTGAATGCGTCTTTTCCTGTCCCAGGGAGGAACAAACAGTGAAAACTGCTGTGAAATAGAATCGAGAGCACATTGTTGATTCAGCTAAACCTAGCGATAAGGGCTGGTTTCAGAACCAGTCTGGGGGAGTGCAGCTTGATCAGATATTTTATGAACAAATTATTACTGATTGGCAAATTCACCGCAACTCATTCTCACTCAGTGGCATTTTTCAGACTTCTCTGTGCCCCCTTTTTGAATTTGCAAAACGCTTCCTTCTGATCCTTTGAGTTAAAGTTTCGGCGACGTTTGATGACGAGCATAGCATGATTAATTACCAATGGTTCCGTAGGTGAATGGCGCATATTCCAACACAGCTTGTGTTTTTCTCGCAGTTATTACCCTGCAGGTTCCAAAAGGGCTTTGGAGTAGGGATTATGATTTCAGTTACATCATTGTGAATTCAGAAAACGCCAGTGATTTCAAAAGTGTGATTCTGAAATTAGGTCAGTGGAAAAGAGATCAAAATCTGCCTTGCTACCTGCAAAGTAGCAAACTCCAAAAGAGAGAGAATTCACCGCTTCCAGACAACAGGTTTTTTTTCTTTCTTTTGAAAAAAATGTTCGTTAAAAAAATAATTTACTTGAAACAGATTGGGAAAGTGAGTAATAGAACAAATTATAACCTGAATCCAGGCTGGATTGTGACAGGAAAGAGCACAGGATGAATGCTTTCCTTCTTACTAATTGATCTGTACTGACCCAGGAGTTTGACATCTCTCTTGCACAGTGATGGGCCATTGACTCAAAACTATTTAGAGGTTTCTTATATTTTGTCCTCTAATTATGTTTCTTCAGTATTTCTGTTGCTGGCTAGTTGATCTTTTGATGACTGCAATGCACTTTAATTTTTTTCCCGTTTGTTTTCTAAGATCTGATAACAGAATACTTCCTGCTCTCGGAGATTGGACTTTTCCAACCTGACAGCACTAGAAATGGCAGGATACAGAATGGATGTGGTGTCTTGCAATAGGCAGCATCAACCATGGAGCCCAGGCACCGAGTCAGCAGGGAGTGAACACCAGGGTCCTCCCTGGTGAGAAAGAATTGATTGGACAGGTGTCATGGATGGTGAACGGTCTTCAGAGTTTGGTTTGCGACCTTTTTATTTGGCAGTGTTGGTCAAAGCATCTACAAAGCAGCTTTTTGGTACCCCAAATCTGTGACTCATGAAAGCTGAGCAACAGTCATCTTTCCCTTCACTTTGGGCAACGCGTTTTGCTTCCTGTTTGTCAGCAGCCCCGTGGTTGCATGCGACAGCTTCCTTAAGCCTGCAGAGCTGTTCTCTTCCAGTGTTGGAGCACTGAAGAACAGCAGCATGGTTTGCATCTCCTCTGGGCTTGGGGTGCACTGCTCCAGAGATGAGAGAGTCCTGAGGTCCTTGGGTTGCTCTCAGACATTCCTTCAAGCCCAGATAGCCAAAGCACTTGCTAATAATGGCAGAAATGTATTTGAGTTGTACTTCAGTTTCATCTACCTCCAGTGAAAGAAATAATGCTATATAAAAACAAATAAAGGTGTTTTACAAATGTACCCCAAGCCTGTTGAGGAATGATGCATTTACAAGTCCACAGAGTGAAGCTACCTTTAAATATCTGATTGAAAACAAAGCAAAAAATACGGTATTTGTAAGTCCTACATATTTTAGTTCCCTTAAAATTTAAAATTATATGTTGTAAGAGTTGAAGCAAATAGGTGTGATGCTTTTGTCATTGTAGTTTTGTCATTGTAATTGTTCTGAAGTAAATCCATTAACTTAATACAAAGGGATTCATTTCAGGTAAAGAACGAAGATGCTGTAGATCTTGTAGTAGTTTTTGCTTTTTCCAGCATCCTTAAACAACCAACCGACCTAAATACTGTGTATTTCTAAAGTAAATTATTTCTCTTTTGTCTTTTTCAGATTTCAGACAGAGCTGAAGCAGTGGGAAAATGAGTGTTCTTCTCATTGAGGCTTTTTATGGCGGTTCCCACAAACAGCTGATGGATCTTCTTCAAGAAGAGCTGAAAGAAGAATGCGTCCTCTGTACGCTCCCTGCCAAGAAGTGGCATTGGAAAGCACGGACTGCTGCTCTTTATTTCATGCAAACGGTGCCAGCAAGTGCTAATTACAGGTAACCCAGGAGCTGGGTAAACTCAAATGGCAGGGAGGGCTTAAGCTGCAGTTTCAGTTCTCTGTATGCAAATGTGTATTCACAGGCAAATAGAGACTAGCAGTGGGCATTAAGAAGCTTATCACATTGCACTGACTTCCTTGGGTGTAAATATGGGAAATCACTACAGTCCTTTAGAATATCTTAAAATTCTTTAGCTTATGTTGCTGGTCCTTGAAAGTCTCTAAGAATGTATGTATACATAGATGCTTACTTGCTTAGAGATGTATACGTACGTTTTATTTTAAATTTATCAAGTGAATTTAGAAGTAAGGAAAGATTTAAACTGTTTTAAAGATGAGGGTGAAAGATTGCATGGATTTGATCACTACAAGCATCCTCACTTACCTCCCTGTTACCTGTTAGCAAGTCTGATTTATCACTGTACTACTCAAGCTGACCTACAGGATTAAGGGTTCTGTTTTATCTTAATGATTGTCCAGTTCTATAATGTGCCAGCACCTATGGATGTCTTTTATGCATTTAGGTAAGTAGCAAAGCTCTGCCTGCTAGAACCTGGACTGATAAAAGCAGACTACTTAGGGCAACAGATAGCTATCTCATAGTGAGAATCAGTCACTCCAGGACCGAAACGTCTTTAGAGTAGCAATGTTGCTTGGCCTACCTGATCAGCAGAGATGTGGTGAGATGATTGGCAGGCAGTGACGCAACGTGTGGTTAGTTGGATGAGTACCTGACTCACTGTGTGCCTTCATGGAGAGGGACTGCTCATGCCCGGGGATGTTACAGCACAAGCATCTGCTTTTCAGCCACAGGATGAACTTCAGCAGGACCCCAGGTGCACCTGAGTGATGTGCCAACCGGCTACTCTTTAGAGCTGGGATTGGTATTTTTAACTCCAGATTGGAGCAAGGAGAGGTAATGGACGGGGGAAGGAGCACAGTCTTTTCAAGAGTAGATCTTGTGCTGTAGAAGGCTGTGTTTGAACAGTGTTGCCCACCACAGTGTATAATCTGCCTTGGAATGCCATATAAATGTACACCTTTTCTCTTCCAGCTTGCATTTCAAATAAGCTGCCATCCCAAGCCAAATATTCTAATTATTCTTCCCATTTGTCTTGTGCGAGGCATTTAGTGTTGGTTTCTTATTGCTTCCCTTTTGCAACAATTTTGTTTTGGAGGAGTATATATGACAAACTGTTATGTAAATTTGTCTTGTATCACAACCACATCCTCCAACGCATTGCAATGTTATCTCTGTTCCTTCAAGGTCAGCAGCCCAAGCTGTCCAGCACTAACTGTATTAAACTAATCAGACATCACTCATAGACATACACTTCATTAGTTTAACTTACAGTTACATTGACCCAAGATAACTTAACTCCAATTTGTCAAGTAACCCACATCTTGGGAAAGGGAGGGAAATGATAGGGAGGGGGGAACCAAACAAACCAGCAACAAGAAAAAAACACCAAAAAAAAAAAAGAAAGAAAGAAAGAAAAAAAAAACAACAACCCAGCAGCTTGAAAACTCACTTGAAGTTAATAAACTTGCAATCTGTCATAGACTTATGTGCAAATATAACCTTTACTGACAACAAATAAATCTGATCTAACCAATGGAGCATCTTAAGGAGAGGAAAGCTTTTTCTGTGCTGTTGCAGGCAGTGTTTGATCAGACAGAATCAAATAGTCAAAGTTCACAAAGAAGCAGTGTTTAACATGGGTATGCACCTTATCCACATGTGCAGGTTTTAGGCTGATATGACTGGTGAGAGGAAAACTGATTCAGAAGTAGCTTCTATGACTTTCCTTGCTCATTTTTAATGTTTGTTTTGTAATTGAATGTTTCAAGTCCTTTTTAAATTGAAAGTATAAATGCATCAACCTAATGAAGCTGACTACAGTACCCTACTAGAAAAATCATTGATTAAAATTAACATTGATTGTTTTATATCTAGCTTACTGGTAACCATTTAAGATCTGCTTCCCAGGCAGTAGCTGCTTGTGAAGATGAAATTATCAAACTGGCAGGAGTGTATGTTTTGAATTGCACATTTAAATATTTAAACCTTCTTGTGAGGTAGTGGGAAATATCAAATCTACATTATTTACATTATTGACTTTATTTGTAGAACAAAAGATTTCTCTTCCAAGCGATGTTTTTAAAATATGACATTTCATAAATACCTTGTTTCTGTTTGTGCATTTAATAATACAGAAAGGTCAGAGATATCTCAAGTGCAAACTGTTGGTAACTGAGCAGTGTTAGTGAATTTCTGTTTCTCCAGCTGTAGTTAATTTCAGGACGCCGTGTGAGAAGTAATACTGATGCTGACAAGTCTGATAATATTGCTGTGTGTGTACGCAGCAGATGGCTGTATGTCTTCCTTTTAAAAGGTAGATAGTACTGTGTGTATATAGGGGAAGGAGGCAGGCTTGTTCTTTTTTGAGTGAAGTTCAGCGTGCTGTTCAGCCTTAAAAAGTGCTTTTGAAGCAGAACATGAGCTGAAGAGTAATAGATGTTCAATTGAGATACTCTGCAGTGACCAGTGAGTTTGTGATGAACTTGCAAATACTTGCTTATCGGAGAGCAGGCGTGTACTCCCTGGAGCAAGGCTTGGAGCCACATTGCCAAAAGCTTTCCTGAGTTGCCATGCAGTGACTCAGGTGATTTTCCCTTGGTACAACTGCAACTTTCCAGAGCATCCTCCTCGCCCTGGTCAGAAATGGAAGAGACATAGCAATCACCATGGCACACTGGGAAAAAAGCACGTTTTTAGTAGAGGCTGTTCTCTACAGAAAATGTAGTTCAAATGCAAGCTAGCAGTATGAGATTTAGATTTGCAAAGCAGAAAGGCTGAAGTGCAGCATAGCTTCTAGTTTGCTTTAATAGCACTGCTGGATTATTTGCAAAAAAACCTACATATATAAATATTATGTGTTACATTCAGTACTGCCCCCCAGGTAGCTGTTCATATGAATAAAGATTTTATTTGTAACAAACTCTTGCCCTGAAATACCCCTCGGGTAAATGTTAGTATATATATACCACTGATATTTGACAACTATATTTTAAAGACAAACTCTATGCTTTTTACGTTTTATGGAGGAGAAAAAGTAAATAAATCGTTGTTTCAATTAATAGAGCTCTGAGAAGGAATCTGAGGAGTGTGGTGTCATCTTCCAAGGGTTTATAACGTATATGTGCGTGTTGGTTTGTGTTTGTAAGTAACATTTTGAGACTATCACAATTAAGGGTTGTTCAGATCTTATGCTTTCATTCATTTCTATAAGGAAAAAGCATGCATTATTAGAGTCACTTTTACTAACTAATTGACTGGTGTTGTTGAAAACGTTCTCATAAAAATGGTGATCCTGTAAATTTTTATTCCAGTGATTAATTCAGTGTATGAGTGATTCCATGGAAACTTGGTGTTTGCTAGTTGCATTCTTCTCAGAAAAATACCTGTAAGCAGTATGTCTTGGGGAAAAAGTTTGGAGATTGCAACTGAAGCAAAGCAGGCAAATTTTAGGCATTTCATTTAAGGCTGAACACACAGATGCCCATTTGTGCTGGGAACGCTTCTGTCTTGTGTCCTTATGTCTTTATGTCAACTACTGGCATCTTTGTATCATCTGCGTGGGTAGAGGAATAATTTCCCTATGTTAAAGATCTTCCCTGCTTTTGGTCCTAAATAATAATAAATGAATTAATAGTTTTTATGAGTAGCATGTTAGTGAAATAAAATGCAACCACAGACTTAGAAATTTTAAAAAAAATTACTTGATACTTATATTTACTTATTTTATGGTGTTTGCTTTCGTACTGAGGTGAATATGTTGTATCATCATCACTGACATTGTATATTTTGACGTTCTTGCTCAACTCCATTGCATCTGAAGATGGGACAGAGCTCAGAATACTGGTGTGAGCTGGTGTGGAGGTTACAATGTGTGTGTGTACTGTTTTGCCAGTTATGTATAGAGTGTACCCCTAAGGTACAGCTTGGTGAGTTGTCTTTTGTACTTTGTTCAAGTGGCACAAAGGGACAAAGAAATGAGTCAGTGGTTAATTGCAACAGCCAGTATCCCCTAAGACAGGGTACCACGTTTGATTAACGTGGCTGTAACTGACTCTTGTAGTCTCATGGATGGATACCAATCATAGTGTGCTTGCTTTGCTGTAGAGATACCAAACCAGGAATCCTGGGCCTCCTTTATTTTAAGGGCAATTTGCTTTTAACATGGATGAGTGCAGGAGATGCTGCCTCATCTCGAGCTCCTCGTTACTCTCCCTAGCTGCGCAAACGGTCATTGCTTCTTTCATTTCATTGGTACTAAACTTCCTTTTTTAAAAAAAAATTATTTCTTAAAAACCCAACAAATCCATTGAGTTCACAAAGGTTACTTAACACGGGCTTGTGCAAACACATCCACATTCCTTCTGCCCACGCTTTGAACTAGCTGGTAGTGAGCTCGCTTCGCACCAGAAGGCCATATGGCCGTACTGGCGCTGTGTTGAGCCTCGACTAATAAGCCCTACCAAGATACAAGACACAGGCACCGTGTACTGAGCTAAAACAACTTGGTGACTTCTGACCAAATCTGGCTCTTGTCCAGCCAGCTTGGAGTGTAAGCAAAGAGCATATACGTCCATATGGAACGGCATGAAGTTCTGCGGCGCATCGCAGATGATACCCTCTGCTTCTCTAGCCCCAGATAATGGAGGTTGTCCCGGCCTGAATAAAGGGTGTGAATTCCTTTCTGCTGAGGGGAGCTCGGAGGCCATCTGATGCTGAGCGTACGTAACGTGGGAACGTACGTGTAAAAGTGGGCTTTGTCTGCTCTGGCTTCGTGCCACCCGGATCTGTTTGGAAAACTTGGGATGTTACCTCTCAAGCTAAACTTCTTTAGAAGGGTGTAAAATCTGTGTTCGAGCATGATTTTTATTAGAACACTAATGTGAATCTGCGCCTCGTTAAAGTTGACAAAAGAAAAT